AAAATTAAAAGTGCATATCATATTGGTGGGGAGAGGTGGGGGCATAACATGCATACGTAATTGGGCAGTTTCCCTTATTCCTAGCAGAAACATATCACGTATGCTCTAAGTTTCAGTAATTTACCTATGCAATATGCATAAAATCTGAGAATACCTGTGGACGCAATATTTTTTCGTAATGAAAAATAACAATATGTCAGTGTTGAGAGGTCAATGAAACTTGCGAAATGTCTTTATAGCTTTCAGAAGAAATAAGGATAAATTCTATATTGTAAACAGACACATGTGGAAATTTAATAATGAAACTGCAACGTTCATCAAATTATTTCAATTACTCAGTGTCAGAGATGACACTTTTAATTCAGACAGATTGTCTCAAGATACGCACAATAATATGACAATATAAATATGCAAATACATAGTAGAACTTACTGAAGCGAGTCTATCGAAGCTATCCGAATTTACCAGTTTGATTAACAGGAAGTGAGTATTGTCAAGTCGTACATAAAATTTCAGGGCTTGAAGGTACGCAATATTTAAAGAAATATTTCACTGATTAACTTGAAAATGAATAGGATTTGTCCTTTCACAATCCCACATAAGTATGTGGAAGCTGAGATTTGATAGTTCAAAGGTTCTCCTTAAATCTTGCCAACAAGCTGTAACGGACACACTAACACACACACAAACACACACATATATGCACAGTAGCGATGCTATATCCTCTCCGCAACTAGCTGCGCGAGGGGATAACAAAGAGTGTGCTAAAAACACAAGGGTAAAACAGTTTACCCCCCTCTCCTTTGGAGCAGGGGTATAATTTTGTAAAGTTAACAGACAGACAGATAAATGGAAAAACTTAGATCAGAAAGCTCAAATGAGCCTCTGGCTTCAATAAGTTAAAAATGGCTTCTCAACAAGTTTTTATTCTGAACTAAACATTATATATATATATATATATATAAATTCTTTCAAGTTCATGCAAAACAAGTGGCACTTATGAAATCTTTGAACAATGGGGAAAAACCTATACGTACAAAAATGAGCTAAAATTTAATTAGGCTCTTGTGACCTGACAAAAATTAATATATGTGTATCTGATGTAGGGGATGTGTAAGTGAAACTTCTCACCTGCTGATAGTTTTGTATTTACATCCCACACTTTTCCATGTTTTTTCCCCGTTTTTACATGGTTAATATGATTACACTTTGTATTGCTGCAACAGACCTGAAATGTGAATGTAAAACCAATGAATCCCCAGTTACAGGTCACTGTAATAAATTCATTCACCGTTAATGAATATCAAATGCTGGGGAAAAAAAGAATTTCAATATGCATCATTTCAAATATGATAAAAAAAAATATTGTAAAACCTTTCAAAACTTTTAATAAGGACATGGAATAATGCCTATTTTACATTGAGAAAAATCCATGAAAAAAAACCTTTCAAGCTTTCAAAGTTGTTTTCTAACTAACTGGACATAAATTTATGAGTTTATACCTTTAACAAAGAAGCTAAACCATGTGTCAGTACAGAAATTGTGTGTGAAAGTTGCAATGGTAAGCCACATTTACAACATCCCCGCAAGCCCTCAGCTAACACTCCAAGTTCTACCACTCTCCTTCCCTCCTTCCAATCCTCAGATGTAGTCACTTCTCCCCCATCCACCACCTCCTCTCTTTCCAGTATATTTAAATTTGGCAATTCTATTAATAAAGAATGAATAAATAAAAATTATCACCAGGATACACATAACGTTCTTTACTATCTACACATGCTGACAAGTTGACTACTTTTGATACACTTACAACAGTTCATAGTGCCGATATACAGCATATTTTTGACATTTAAGAGGTAAGTATATGCTATTTAGCATGTGCATATATGCATAACAAAATTCATGCATTCATGGTGTTGGGATAGTTAACTTGACAGGGTTGTGCATCCAAGTTCTGCTGTTTTGTTCCATTTTACTAAGAAGTAACACAATATAAACAATTTATTTCTATTATTATGGTTTTGGGCCAGTCTTTTTAAAATTTACTGGCCCAATGTGACAGTGAAAGTACTAGACTGCTGAGTTAAAAAATTGACCAGTAAAAATTTAAGCGATAGCCTGAGTGGCCAGTGAAAAAAAAAGTAATTATTTTTAGTCCTGGACCTGTTATAAGATAAATAAACCATCCTGATCAGTGGCGGATCCAGGAATTGCATAACAGTAGAAGGCAGGGGGTATGGGGGACTGCATTGACCCCCAGTGGGTCTAGGGCAAAGCCCTGGTGGGGGCCTGGAAGCTGATGAATTCTTACAAATAAGAGATGTTTTTTCCTTGATTTTAGGATAATGGACATAAAATTTCTACATACAAAAAATTCAAAAGGGGGGGGGGGGGGGGCTGGCCCTGTATCCACCTTTGCTGATAGAGATTTCCAAAGTTTCTCCAAATATGTTGTTGAAATCCATTTTATTTGTTTTCAATCTCTTATTTGCTATGACATCTCAACCACACATACATGATGACACAGCCTATTCACACTGTGTTACGAAAATACAAACAATTAATGAATAAAGGTAAAGGGAAAATCAAAGAAAATGTAACAACAGAAAATTCAATGTTTTGTAGTTGTATATGGAATTTATTTCAATCATGAGACAGGATTTTTTTTTAAAAATAGATTTTCATTTGTGTTTTCAAAGACACTTGTGAAAATATAAAAAAAAATCCTATCCCACTAGTGAAATAAATTCCATATTCAGCTACAAAACATTAATCATCCGCTATGTATCATGATACACTGGAACTGCATCTCAGTATTGTGATAAATATTGTGAGATTTCACCTTTCATACATTTTTGCATAATTTGTGTCAATCTGTTTTGTAATGTAACTTTCCATCACAATGTGAAGGGATCAAATGAGTATATTATTTCATCAAGCTTTAACATTTTATAATCTTTGAACCACAGCAATGAACAGCAAAAGTAAATTAAAAAAATATATATCTTCTATATATTTATTACATGTAGGTTAAACTATAAAAAAAAATTAACATATAGGCCTATGACTTAAGGACTAGAACGGCGCACTGTAATGGACATCATGTGCCTTCCTTTAATATTTCTAAGATAGATCTAACATAGATGCAGATGTGCAAACTGGTTTTTTTTTTAGATATGATACACGTATGTATACAAACCTTGATCATGATCAATGTTAACAGGAGTTGCACTGGCGGAGTAATTGTGGTCTCTAAGAATAGCTCCCCTAATCCATCGGGTCAATTGCCCTGCAGATACTTTTTCATATCTCTCCTTCTTCGTTTTCGAAACGAACCCATGGCGTCTGTACTTTGGTTTCACCATCTTAACCAAAGTTTACGCGCCGAACGTTACTTCACGTCTGCTTTTTACTTACATTATCGTAATCCGTCTCACATGTCTTAATTTTCCGCGAAATATAAAATAGTTATTATATGTTTTCTTCTGGCACAAAAATCAATATTATGTTACTTTCTACGGATAATTATTATAATTACTTAAAATAAACTATTATTTTTCTGTCATACTGAATTCTTTATTAAAACGACATTCAGACCAATTTCCGGCAGTTCGAGTTGCGCGGTGTATTCAAATTCGTCAGAAGCGAAACACCTTAATGAGCATGAGTACGTATAGAGAACAAAGATGTTATGTATTCTTTAATATTTAATCAATTAAGTCCCACCCCACAGTCCAAAGAATGGACCCCGTTGCCAAGAATTTTACTATTATGGTAGAGGTTGAGGACTTATTGTAATCATGCAATGAGTGTACTTGCTAGATGTGCACAAGCAAAGAATATTTTCTAATAAATAATGTATTTTTAATATATGATCAAGTTAACTCCACCCTGCAGGCTGAATCCTGAATCACAGACCTTTCATGATTTTCATAATTTTGGTAGTGCTTACTGCTTATAAATTATATTCATGCCTCACTCTTGGTTCCAAGAGCAAAGAAGAAGATTTTAAAATACATATATTGCAATTGGCTCCACCTCTTAGGCCCAAGGAAGGCAGAGACCATAAAATTTACTATTTTTGTTCTCCATTACACCGTAGATGGTATATACCAACATTTTATGAAAATGGCTCAGTGGTTCCAAAGAAGCTGAAAATGTTCAAAAGTTAGCGACCAACGAACGACGGTTAAACAGAAAGATCATCCCTGTGACCTACAGATAATAATCATGCTTTTTTTTCAACAATTTACTAATTAACTGTAATTCAGGGTATTGATCATAATCACTTTTGATGTGAAGATTTACTCGATCTTATCATTACAAAAAATATGTGGATTGCATACATATGCCATCATAGGTTCTCTAATATAAAGTTAAGGCCAATTAAAGATTTTACACTTTCAATCCATCTTACATTGATATCGTATAACTGAAAACGTAGAAAAATAGCTTGATATATGTGACCGGGTATAAGAGTTTGGATCCAATTATGGATTTTTTTTTTAAAAAACGAGATTCTTACGAAATGTTATACCATAGATGCCAAACTTGCTGATGTGTCACTGAGGTTTACTCTCATGCTTATTTTTTTTTTTTAAGAAATATGACGTCACAAAGAAAATCAGATTAATTCGGGTCTTTTTTCCAGGCAATGCATTACTATTTGTGTTACAGTTCCATGAGAATTAATGATTTTGGTAACAACATATGTTTACTAATTGTGGGAAAGTTCATTTCATTTCCTTTAATTTGTTGCACAACGTGACATGCACTGATCTAGAGGTGGTAGGGAGTCTGGATCCCCCCCCTTTTCCCCCGGATTCCATCACTTAATCCCTTAAACACACACAAACTTGTGTTTCGTCAGTTTGTTGATATTGTACGTTTCGATGTGTGAAAAAAATTATCAGTTATATGAACAGAACAAAACATTTTTCAAGAACAAATTGTAAACAAATTGTTAATTATAAATTTAACTTGTAAAACAATGGTGTATTTTACATTTCTTGGTAATTTGTCTTACCTCCCAAATCCAACACCATATAGCGAGTTCCGGGTTGAAACATGGAGAGATTTGTAGAACTTGCTGTGGAGAGTCTCTCTAGTGGTAGCATTCTGCAATATAAAGCTGCTGCTTCCGGCTCAAGTGCAAGGCTTAAATTCTGACTCTCAATTCCTGCCTGGTGTTTTAAACACGATATATTCATTAACAATTTCTTTAATTTGAACTTTTATTTTGGCAAATAATAGATATATCATTTTATTTTCAAGCTTTTTAAAAGAAATATGATCTGACAATAAACAATCTCAAGCATCCAAGCGTACCTCTTGTGCCGCCTCCCTCATAAACTGCTTAGATTTATCGTTCCATATTGCAGGTATTGTCAGAACCCAGTGAATGTCGTCGTCTTCTTCGATCAAGACATCCAATCCTTTAACTTTAAGGTGGTTTAGAAGGTGATCTTTCAAATACCGTATGCCATGGGCAAAGACTGTCATGGCGGGGAGCTTCTTTTGGCCGCTGTCGTCTGCTATTACTGTTTCACGGTTCAAAGTCTAATTCATAATTACAAAGAAACATCTCAGAGTTAAATGCATAAAAAAGTAATTTCGTTTGATCTGTACCTGATTATTAAAATTTGGGCTGTTTTTTTTCATCCAGTATAAAAACATTATGATGCTACATAATAATTTGTCTTATAAATGTCATAAATTTAAAAGAAACACTCCATTATTCCTTTATCATAATTTCCTTACCATATTATTATGTAGCATCATTTTGAACCTCCGAAAGAAGTACCATGAATGATGTTTTCCTTCATTGGCAAGACCAGTGTATGTATCTTCAGCCTCATATCCAAACGAATGAAAACTTCGGTCAGATTTCAGCAAAAGACACGTGGGGGTTTTCTGAGAAAATAAATTCTTGTGTCCAGCCACCCATGTTGTATTGGCCATGATTTTCGTGGGATCCTTTTCGTATTCATCTTTGAAAGAGAAGGCATAGCCCGAGTACGTTGTACCAAAGTCAATTGCAGCTACAAGGACTTTAATATCTAGTTTTTGTTTGTCCGCCATTCTACAAAGCATTAGCACAATTCAGCTTGCAAATCATGCAGCTGTATGAATTACACTTGGACAGAATAAGAATCGAAATACAATTTTTCATAGTTCAATGTCACTTAGCTAGAACTTTATCATTTTTACTAATTACGAAGTATTTCACATCTTTGAACATTGCTTCTTCTTAAGAATGTAATTTTGCGATAATGTAGGGAATAAAGTTTAAATTTAAAAATATGCAACTTTTTAAGGACACATGCCTCAAACAAACAAAAAATGGATGCGTGGATTGAACCAATATTTAGATTTGTTTTGATTGTAAATGAAGCATATTTCAAATCTCTAAATTACTGAGAAATCGTAGACTTTCTATAACAATGTTCTATGTCCTTTTACATGTATTAGCATGAACCCTTGCAAATGTATCCAATTTTTAGCACTTTCTATGACATTATTGAAAAACTGTGACTGAAAAATGAAATTTTTTGCGGTTAAGCTCATCTAATTTATTTAGATAAACATATACTTACTTACATGTAGTTGTTAAATTTATAGTTTAAAAAAAGTTTATACCATCTGTTTTTAAATAAGACATTTCATGTTTCTCCTGCACACGAAGGCAGATCAAGAATCTTTCACCAAGGACTGGAGATGGAAATGTGACTGAAAAATAAAAGATTAAAATTTTGAGTTTTTTTTTTCTGAAATTTTAGATTTCAAAAATTCGAATTATTCACATAAAAGATTTAGAATTTAAGAAATCGATTTCGATGTCTTTTATATCAGAAAATGGATTTTCTGATATCAAAGAGTCAATTTTCTGATATAAGATAGCAATTGATTCATTCTGTGTTTCTATTGTGGCTAGATACAGAGTAGATAACCTAAAAACCTCGTGTTTATATTTTTTGTATAATGCAAAGAAGTAAATAAAACAAATACATTTACGTACTACACACATTTACATTTACAGTGGGATTATGTTGACATATAACTTTTGTTAAAATAAATTTGTACAATTTTACAAGCGATGTTATAGGAGAATTACTTAATTTAATGAGCCTAACAGCAATATTTGTTCGATTTCTCGTACATGTATCAGAGAATTCAATTTGTCATTTTTGATATAGAAAACGCCAGCTGAACTTCTAATATACCAATATGTATATATTCTGATTTGTGATATCGAAAATTCGTTTGTTTCTTATATTAAAAATTCATTTTTATTTAATATTTAAAAATTAATTTTTATTTAATATTAAAAATTCATTTTTATTAAATATTAAAAATCATTTTCCGATATCAGAAATACCTTAAAAATTCATACATGTGTTTGTGGTACAGGGTAAATTGATAAATCATACATGATAAAAACATTCCTCATTCGTTTATAAACTTAAATAAAAGACCCAATAATACATGTAGAATGTTAATTTGAGTATATTCCAATGTAAGTTGTGAAAATATATTCGTTTCGATTTGAACAGTATCAAAAAGTGCATGTACTTATGCTTATCACTATATGATTGAATATATACATTAATAACAAAATGCAAGCAGGTATGAAATATATTAAAATCTTACTTTCTTTAGGTACCTTAAATATGTAAGCTCAATTTCAGCTACGCAGATTATACCATTGTGAAATGGATTTGTTCTCTACTTTCGGTTTGATGTTTGTTTACAAATGGCGTCCTGAAATTTTGCACAGTATACCTAACATTATTTGAAGGTAAGCAAAATACCGATATAAGTGTGAAATATTTACCTGAGACCCTAAGATTCAATCTTTAGAGATTATGTATTGTACCGTAAATGAATGTACAGTCATCAATGGCAATTAATACATTTCATTAATTTCTACTGTAACTAAATGTAGAGCATTACATGTCCTTCTCTGCTGGACATAGATTAACAAGTCATATATAAGCTGGTCAAACTATTTGACTTCTCTTTTTCAACAGTATTAGGCAATCGAGATTCAAGCATTTTTTTTTTTTGGGGGGGGGGGGTTACATGTATATGCTTTACAAATGCCTCGTACATACATGTACACGCGAATTGCATATAAAAAAAGGTGCATGTAATTTATTTTTTTCCCCCAAGTGAACATGTCAAAGACTAGAAAAACGATACAGTCTGTCTTCGATGACGCAAAGAGTCCTCCTAGTAAAAGAGGTGTTGATCAACAACTAATAAAGAAAGCTGAAGAGGAATTTACAAAACTTAAAAGTCACGCTAAACTGCTGCAGGAAAGCAATAAAGATGTTGTAAGTACTGTGGAATGGAACTAAAGTCAAAGAATCCGTTTTGCTGCAGTATACATGTGTATTTGTCCAAAAAAAAAAAGGTTCTTCGATCTAAATTAATTCCTTTATAAAACACATATTGAATATATAATGTGATTTTAACATAGTTTTGTGAACAGAGCAACAAACCTGTATTTTTTTTAAATGCAATGCATGTTAGGCTTTTTAATCTTATTTGATATTTTCGAACCTTTCAACAGTACGAGAAAATCAAGATTAGAGTAGATAAAATGTCACAAAGGCCAGAGAAACCCAAAGACTTCGGCACTCTGTACGATTTTTTGGTATCTCAAAATGTTAAGGATATAGACGTATGGAGAAAATATGCATTGTTATTGGAATGTCCAAAACATAAATTAGAATCTTCACCTGCTAAGGTAAGTTTATTTTCTCTTACAGAAAATTATGTAAAGTACAGGTGTTTAATTAAACTTACATGCAAGTCAAAATGCTATTATCTGTAGTAGAATGAAGTAGTCTAAAATGATTTAATTATTAAATTCAGCAATCTTTTTAAAGGATTTTGATACTTTCTATAAATTAATAAAGATAAGGGGGAAAAAATCAAGATTTATTTAAAGTTAACCCATACAATAATAATTTTTTATTATTCAATTTATTTTGTAAATATATAGAATAACAAATCTGTTGTAATCCCTGCAAGTCAAAGAAAACCATCAAGTAACGCAGGAAAGGTACGCGATTTTTCTTTAAAATAACAGTACATTGCAATTATATGCCCTTTTTATATGCTGTAAAAATTGTTTTCCATTTATACATTTATACCACGAAAGGTTAGAATGTCTTGTATTTAAAAGCTGTTTTGATAATTTCAATACACCAGCTAAATTAAACAATTAAAACCTCATGTTAATTGCAGATATCAACAGTAGGCCCCAAACAAGGTCATCCAAGTAGTTTCCCCTCATCAAATATGGTATGACATATATAGTGTTCCATTATTTATCTTCCAATAACAGTAATGAAATCATATACTTACACATACGGTGGATATAAGTGAATGCAATATCTCATGTCTGTTACTCTTAAAAGATCGTCGGGGTCGCCTTTTGAGGTACGTACATGTACTTGTGTACATTTAGTACAAAGTTAGATGCGTCTGTTGTTTTCTCCTTCTATTTCTATATTGTGAATTCTGAAAAAGTTTTGGAGAATACAGTTTATTTTGCAAAATTTAAGTTAGCTTTTTCTAAAGATAAATTAACATCAGAAATAAGAGTTGCAACTGCCGTTATCAAGGCAGAACTTGATACAATGCATATAGTAGTAATAAAACATCTCAAACATACTACAACATTTGTCAAATATCAGGACCTGATAGCAACAGAAAATGATAACTTTATCTGCATGTACATGCATGCACAATAATAAATTTAGGATCTTAATTTTTTCGGCTTGTCGTGTTTTGAGCTATGAAACTACTTTTTTAGGTAAATAACTGCTTTATAAAATTGTTTGTTCAGAGACAAAGCCCAGGACAAGTTGAAGGCAATGCGAATAATAAGGAACCAAGTCAACACATTAGAAGTCAGACAATTGAAAATGGTGAGACACAACAACAAAAACAACTCAGAGTCGAACATATGAAACTAATCGAAGAAAACGAAAAGCTCAAAGAAACAGTAAGAGAACAAAAGCAGCAAACTGAAGAACTTACAACAAGGTAATAACCATTACAGGCATGATCTGATGACTAACAATTTAAAATGATACGTATTCCCTTATGTTTATTACAGCAAGAACAAATCAGTGGTATTGTATTTGGTTGTCATTAAATATAAGCAAAATTCTGCAGATTAAGCAGATATGCCAGTCAACAATTAACACAGGGAAACCCAAATATAGCTGACCTAAGTGATAAAAATCGACCAACTAAAATTGGAGAAAAGTTTTCGTTAGTGTATGATGACCAATGGTCAGAGGCTTTTGAAGCATTGAAAGTAGGAGGAAAGACAGAGGAAACCGTAGTTACAGAGCTAGCAAATTTAGTTAAGGTATAAATACTTACTAGTAACAAACAGGATAGGTGAATATTTATCCCATTCACAGGAATACTAAAAATCAGTGGTTTGCACCACAGAAACTTGTTTCGTATACGGGGCACCCCTACTTATTTTTACCACAAGGTACCTAACTCAATTTCAGGCACCTCCGCTTCAAGCTTGTATTTTGTTTATATATCAGTCATTAACCTAGTACTTTAAAATGACACCATTCGCTTCGAAAGACTTTAAATCGGATACATTGACTTGCGGTTGGGTTATAAATGAAGGATAAATCTGGAGACCTCGGAAAGGAGTCTCTGGATTTATCCTACATTTATAACCCAACCGGAAGTCAATGTATCCGATTCGAAGTCTTATTTTGTATCGAGATAATTTTCAAGGAAGAAATGAGTGGTTTACAATAAAGAGGTTCGACCAGAGACGTCCGAAACGATTAATTTGACAAGAAAAAAGTTTTTTTCAAAGCGAACGATGTCATTTTAAAGTAGGTTAATGATTGATATATAAACAAAATACGAGCTTGAAGCGGGAGTGCCTGAAATTGAGTTAGGTACCTTGTGGTAAAAATAAGTAGGGGTGCCCCGTATACGAAACAAGTGCCTGTGGTTTGCACACTTTGTTGACTGAGAAATTGAAAGATAAAAGAAATAATTCAATTTTCCTATTGCGTTTTTCGTAGGGATTATTTTGTTGATCATATATCTTTCTGTGTCTTTCTTAAAAGAGGTTTATTTTCACCAACATTATTAGGATAGAAATCTCTTAGAAATACATTAGTGTGATAAATATATACATCAGCAAGATTGAAAAAAAGAATTTTAATGGTCTAGAGAGAATCTAGAGAAATGTGATGCTTCCAAGTGCAATATCCATTCTTTAACATCGTTTTCTTTTAGAAGGTACAGCACAGTGACATTGCTGTATGTGTAATACAGATTACAACACCTCTCAATATTGTAGGAATGTTACAAATTTTCTGATGAGACTAAAGATAAAATGAGAAACGAGTTGGTGAAAAGAACAGCCGAGGTGATCAGGAACCCGTTGCAAGTAGGTCTTTTGTGAAAATATGTTGCGCCAAAGTAATACAACAATTATAAAAGTGCATACATAATATTGAAACAATATCTTTTCGATCTTGCTAAATTTAAGTTATACTCTACAGTGTGTAAAGTTTAATTTCAACCTTTTCAGTCATCATTGTCAACTGCAGAAGAACCAAAAGATGTCAATTTAACAGGATCCAATGCTATTTTTAATGACTTTTTGAAAAAATATGGTGAACAGTCAGTCAAATCTCTTCAAAAAGTAAGAACTTCTGGATACTTATTCTTTATTGATGTGTGCATGCTTATTAGTAATTAAATTATAATAATTTATGTGTAATGAAAGACCTCAGTAAAACAGCATTTGTGTTTCGTAACATTACAAACCTTTCCAATGTTATACTTTCTTGCTTTTTCACTTTATTTTTATGTATTTGCTAATATGAAACACAAATTAAGGCTACATGAAGAATTAGCTTTACTTCATTTAAGGCGTTCAGAAAACAGAAGGAGAGCTACACACTTGATAAAAGACTTACAGATTATCTGGACATTCTAGTAGAACTCACGTGGAACATGGTCCTACAAGATCCGCCAATGACCCTAAACTTTGCTAAAAACGGAGAAAAAATCAATGAAAAGTCATTCAAACACTACAGCAAGAAAGGCAATGTCGCACTCGTTTGTGTTTGGCCTGCTTTACACCTGTATAATGGTGGACCAATTGTATCAAAAGGTTTTATTCTTCCTCAGTAATGCTTCTTACTACTGCCAATGAAGTCCATATTAAAAACTTTGTCAATTTTTCCCCATTTAATATTAACATAATTTTATATGGTTTTGATGTTTGATGCAAGAAAGAAACCATTTTTAAAAATAAGATATTCTGCTAAGTACGTGTAGCTATAACTAGTTTAAAATGCACGCACTTGATTTGTACTTGCATTTTTTTTTCAAGTACATGTATTTAAAAATCAACAAGGTTATGAGTTGATGTTTATTCATATAAAGGGTGAACCAGTCATATCATTTAATTTGCATAGCAATATTTTGTAGCGCAATTTCCGTCCGAGTGATTCATTTCATGACTACAGAATGTGTTCAATCCAAATAGAGTATGTAATATACTCAATGGATTTTTTAAACTGTAAGAATCGTTTCAAGTATTTTTTTTTGTTTTTACAATTGTCATCCTTATTACATGTATTCATAATAATATTCTTTGTTTCACGTTTTTTTTACCACACCTTTAAAAAATAAATAATTTTACTGTATTGTTCTCGTAATGTAATCAATCGTTGAAAGTTTTTCAACTCTGTAAGGTGTAAAAAGGAAATAGTGTTCTTTATAGAAGGAAATATTACTGTTAGATCTTTTTCTCCCATTATCAACTGTGTTTCATCACTCACGCGCAGTTGTTCTTTTTTCATTTTAATAACACCTAGTATGATTCTATATTGCTTATGACGATTCTCGAGGGTCCACTCTCTAAGTTGAAGGTTGACTTTGTCTATCACTCCTAATTTTATTATACCCCCGCAAACGAAGTTTAGGGGGATATTGGAATCACCATGTCCGTCTGTCTGTAGACGAGATTTTGTCCGGACCTGTTCTCGGAGACTATTGCATGGATTTGACTGAAAATTTGTACACTTATTATTCACCATATATAGGTGTGCACCTGCTATTTTCATCATTATTGGGTAATTTTTTCTGCCTTTTACAGTTTTATTTTCATTTTTACTGACTTAGTTATTTTGGGTTTATGTAGGTTTGAGAAATAGAATCTAGAACTGCCATTTGGTACATCTGTACAAAAATGTGAACTGCAGTTTAAAAATACTCATTAAAACTAAAAATAAAATCACCGAGTATAAAAAAGGTTTTTGATAGTTAGTCCCTACAAATCCAAGATTCGTGCAGAAACCTTATTAAAAAAAGTTGCATCAAGATAACACAGTTCTTTTTTTTTCATTATATAAAACTTTGTAACAAATTAAAAGAAAAAATTCTTTGTTTTCAACAGAATGACATCGACATTCCTTTTCTACTGTACACAGTGCATTACAAAGCAAGCGTAAATCCATTTGTCCCTTGGGAGCAATGAGTGGACATGCATTCAGTTAAAGATTAAATAATGAGTTCTGTGTGGGAAGCTATTAGGGCATCTCTGATCAAGCAGGTGTTATCTACTAGTATATCTCCTGGGAATTGGGCAGAAAGAAATAAAGATATCTGTTCTCTAACTCTCTTAATTTATAGTCTGTCAAAATACATAGTTACTGGATGACCAGCTTTTAATTTTAAAATGAATTTGATATAAAATATCAAGATTAATTTGATTTTATATAATTAAATTTGATGTATTTTTTTCAACAATCGATTTGCAGAGTACCATGTCTCACAAAGAGAACAGATACTTGCAATTTATTTTTTCAATGTAATATAAACAGTTTCATTAAATATTAGTATTGATGTTTTATTAGGTTGTACCTTAGTTTCATTCATTAACAAAATGTAATAAGAAATTATATTTTTCACTCTAAATGTTAAGGCAAATTGTAAACACCTCTTATATCAATAAAATATTAGTGATTTGGCACCTTCTCTGAACCCAGAGTTTTATTGCACAATATTAGATAAGGTTTAGCTCACCTGAGCTGAATGCTCAAGTGAGCTTTTTTGATCACCACTTGTCCGTCGTCCTTCCGTCCGTCTGTAAACTTTTCACATTTTCAACTTCTTCTCAAGAACCACAAGGCCAATTTTAACAAAACTTAGTACAAAGTATCCTTGGTTGAAGAGGGGTTTAAATTGGTAAAATAAAGGGCCAAGCCCCCTTACAAGGGGAGATAATCAAGAAAAGACAAAAATAGGGTGGGGTCGTTAAAAAATCTTCTTCTCAAGAACCACTGGGCTAAAAAAGCTGAAACTTACGTGGAAGCATCCTGGGATAGTGTAAATTCTAAATTGTTAAAATCATGACCCCCGAGGGTAGGGCGGGGCCACCATAGGGAATTCAAGTTTTACATTGAAATATGTAAGAAAAATCTTTAAAAATCTTCTTCTCAATAACAACTTGGCCAGAAAAACTGAAACTTACGTGGAAGCATCCTCAAGTAGTGTATATTCGAAATTGTTCAAATCATGACCCCAGGGGGTAGGATGGAGCCACAATAGGGAATTCAAGTTTTACATTGAAATATATAGGAAACATCTTTAAAAATCTACTTCTCAAGAACCACTGGGCCAGAAAAGCTGAAACTTATGTGGAAGCATCCTCGGGTAGTGTAGATTCTAAATTGTTCCAATCATGACGCCTGGGGGTAGGGCGGGGCCACAATAGGTATTACAACGGGGGAAATCTGGTAAAGAACAGCATGGCCAAAGTTACTCAGGTGAGCGATGTGGCCCATGGGCCTCTTGTTTTTAAATACATTACTCTTTTAAGCTCACCTGAGCCGAAGGCTCAAGTGAGCTTTTCTGATCGAAATTTGTCCGTTGTCTGTCGTCGTCGTAAACTTTTCACATTTTCATTTTCTTCTCAAGAACCACTGGGCCAGTTATAACCAAACTTGCCACAAAGTATCCTTGCGTAAAAGGGATTCAAGTCTCTTCAAATGAAGGGCCATGCCTTCTTCCAAGGGGAGATATATAAATTTTCGGAAAATTAATGGCATGATTTAAAAATCTACTTATCAAGAACCACTGTGCTTGAACGTCTGAAACTTATGTCAGGTTTGTTCAAATCATGACCCCTGGTGGTAGGGTTCGGCCACAGTGGGGGATCAAAGTTTTGCAAAGGAGTACAAGAAAAATCTTTGAAAACCTTCTTCTCAAGAATATCAAAGCCATGATTGGTCATATTTATATGGAAGCATCCTCAGGTACTGTAGTTTCAAGTTTGTTCAAATCATGACCCCTGGTGGTAGGGTGGGGTACAATGGGAGATCAAAGTTTTATAAGGAATACATAGGAAAAATCTTTAAAAATCTTCTTCTCAAAACATAAAAGCCTTGATTGGTCATATTTATATGGAAGGATCCTCAGGTAGTATAGATTCAAGCGTGTTCCAATCATGACGCCAGGGATAGGGTGGAGTCACAATGGGGGATCAAAATTTTACAAAGGAATACATGTACATACGAAAAATCTTTAAAAATCCCCTCAAGAACGTAAAACCAATGATTGGTATATGGAAGCATCATCAAGTAGTGCAGATTAACTTTTGTTCAAATCATGACCCCCGGTGGTAGGGTGGGGCCACAATGGGAGATCAAAGTTTTATAAGGAATACATAGGAAAAATCTTTAAAAATCTTCTTCTTGAGAACAGAAAAGTTGTGATTGATCATATTAATATGGAAGCATCCTCAGGTAGTGTTGGTTCAAATTTTTCTAAATCATGACCCCCGGTGGTAGGGTGGGGCCACAATGGGAGATCAAAGTTTTACATACATGTAGGAATACATAGGAAAAAAATCTTGTTCTAAAGAACAGCAAAGCCATGATTATTAGACATATTTATATGGAAACATCCTCAGGTAGTGTAGATTCAAGCTTGTTAAAATCATGACCCCCCCCCCCCCCCGGGGTAGGGTAGGGCCATAATGGGCAATAAAAGTTTTACATAGGAAAAATCTTTAAATATCTTCACAAGAACAACAAAGGCATGAATGGTCATAATAATATAAAAGCATCTTCAGATAATGTAGATTTAAATTTGTTCTAATCATGACCCTCCAGAAGAATAGAGGGGCCATTACAGGGGATCATATACAAGGGAATATAAAGTATATATCAATAAAAAATTTCATCTTAAGAACAGCAAAACCATTACTCAGTATGTGTCATTTTAATTTAAAAGCATCCTTAGAAAGTTTAGATTCAAGCTTGTTTATATCCCCCCAACCATTTTATATTTAAACTTTTCAATACTGAACCGATTTCTGCTTTTTCCTAGCTAAAGCTCTCAGGTATGCGATGTGGTCCCTGGGCCTCTTCTAAATTATAATTTGTATCCTCTTTTTTTTTTATTACACCATCTCGGGTGCTCCTTATACATCGTTTACTGAACTGAACTTTTCATGTCTATGATGGCATAAAATTCAGGCACAGGGTTTGTTTGAAAACAACTACGATTAAATTTTTTATTCTTTGAATTTTTCGCATGTATATTTCATTTTGGCAGATCATCGAGAGGTACTATTTAATACTTGGGACGCAGGCCCGTAGGAAGCAATTTCACTTTGAGGGGGCATAACCATACATTTTCAGTTGGAGGGCATTATCAACTACCAAAATTCCTTGACAAAAAAAAAAAAAAAAAAAAAAAAAAAAAAAAAAAAAAAAAAAAAAAAGATCTGACATCAGACGTTAATATTGAGGGGACATAAGCTTTTAGTAGTTATGATTCCTATAATATTCTATATATTAGCAAAATTATTGGCGGGCACGCACTCCCCCGTGCTCCCCGGTTCCTACGGCCATGGGACCTACATACTAACGAGAAAGGCAACTTCTTCTTCAGCGCCATGCTTATTTTACCGAACATAGAAGATCGTGTTGTGTTATGGGAGAACAGGTCCCATAATCAGTGCTTATTAGTATCAGATTTCTTTTACACTCACGTTCCTTGATTTTTTTGAGATACTCGGCAAGCCTCGTTTCAATAGAAGAAAAACTAGAAGGAACTCCAGGTTGAGGAAATCGGGTTACTAATGATCAATATTACACTGGTTATGGAACACACACACACGCAAATATATATATATATATATATATATATATATATATATATATATATATATATATATATATATATATATATATATATATATATATATATATAGTGTATATATAATTTATGATTTCATATATTTATGATATACAGATGTATATAATAAACATTTTAAATATACATGTTTTGGTTCAAATGCTCTTTTCAACTTGATTTAAATTTTCGATTTGAACTCTTCGTGTCTCCGAGTGATAAACTTTTATTAATTTTCCTCCTTATTAACCTCAGAAAGTGTGGCAAAGTCTTCAAATTCGGCACAAGTTATTCTTTCGCTTTCTTATTTGTGTTTTTTTGTTATTTTCTAGGGCTATCTTGGTTAAAGAAGCCAATGTGAAATGTTGGTGTGCTCTTTCTTATTTGAAATTCATTTAAAGATAGAGATTAAGAATAACTGGTGACACCGTGAAGCGTTATTGCGACATTCCGTTAAACGAACGGACCAGAAATTAAAGTTAAATTATAGGGTACTGAATAAATATACTTCATTATAATCATAATTTCTGTTCAAGAAAATTTAAAACTCTACTGTGATATGTAAGTTGATGTATATACAATATGTGTACTTATCTCCTGAGATAACACATGAGATAACATATATGACAGTACGATAATAATTTAACATGGCGGGTAGAGAACAGGTAAGTATATGTGTACGCTGTACTTACAAAATAATGAGCCGTTCTTAAAGTGTTTTAACTGGTAGAAATAATAATAATTGAAGCATTTTTTCTATCCTGATGAAAGTGGTCTGTACAGACAATTGCTGAAGTTTTCAAGAGATTTGGGAAACATATCGATGCAGAGCACCATGACAAGGCGTATAGAAAGTACAAAATACTTTGTGATCATGCAAATTACCTGGCAAAGAGAGATTTTGAAACGGTATTTTTTTTTTGAAATGGTATTGATTGTTCATTGACAAAATTGCTATGAAAACAAATAAATGCACTGCTTTGCTTTGTATCTTTAAAAAAAGCAGTATTATGTCGAATGAATTAATTTCATGTTTGTTAAATCTTATTTCATATCTTCATGATAAGCATGAGTATCTGAAGTCCTATTACGAAGAAAATGGCGAAAATTACCCAGCATGCCTCAGTGACGATCAAAAGCAAGCATGCCTTCCTTTATATGATTTTCTGTGTAGTGCAGGAACCATGCTCGATTTGACCAATGTCTGGCCGACCTATGTTTTTCTAGTGGAGGTGTACAATAAACAGAACAAATCTTCGAAAAAATCGGTATAGCAGAAGCAAAGCATGACAATTTATCATTTTACCATCTTTAATACAAGAATCACGTTGATAATATTTTCATTTTTATACTTCTTGCTCAAGGGCCCTCATATCAAACAAACAGACGATTTTATTCCCCATATTTTGCAAAATATGAAATCTTGTATGGATACAGAAACATGGAATGCAGCAGAAACCGAGTACTTTGATCTAATTCAGAGACAAGAACAAATGAAACGTGATCCGGATTTGGTGAGCCAGTTTATAATAAAAGTTATTATTATTTTCAGCGATTAAAAACGACACAATCGTTTTGCTACTGTGTACCACTCTGGACAGCTTTATACATGTATATGACTTTAAACATGAATATATGGTACTTTTAGATTAACATTCATTAATATTTAATTGTCATATTCTAAATAAGTTTTAATCAGATAAATAAAAAAATGTAACTACAAACGGAAAAGAATTAATTAAATTTTTCTTTGTCAAAATCAATTTGTGTTTTAGGCTAGAGAGAAAGAATTGTGGGTTTTAAATGGCGATGTTGCTGCTCAGAAATTTCTAGATAATATTGAATACATGGATAGAGCTCTGTATATAACAATTAAAGAAGCGTTGCAGAGGAACTTAGAAGGAAGTCAAGCTACCTGGTGCCAATATGGATCTCTTCTGCATTCATCAGAGCTTCTGAGGCGGAGTGAAGAACAAAAGGTTAGAATTCAAATTAAAGTAGACATCTTATTGACATTCTATTTTCTGATTATTAATAGATTTATTTGATTTGTTCTGAATTCAGTATGATTGTTTCATGGTTTAATGAAATCAAGTTATTTTATCCGCTGCAGACAAGACGACATGAAAATGAAATTGACGAGTTACGTGAGAAGTTTGAAGAACTGAGAATGCAAAATGAATTAAAATCACAAGAAATCGAGGAACTTACAACAAGGTTTTCTCTTATTTCTAATGTAACGTTATGATCATGTAACCATTATCGAAAGGCAATCTTTGAGTTCAGAATATAAAAAAGACTTCAAACATGAAACAAAACATAGTGTATACCCCTTGTATATGTTGATTTAGGCTAAGTCAAGTTGCCAGTCAGAAAGTGGCGACGGGTAATCCGAACCACACAGATCTCAGTGATTCCAATCGTCCCACTAAAATCGGGGAGAGATTTTCAGAGTTATATGACAACGAATGGACCCATTTGTTTGAAAGTTTACAATCGGAGTTTGAAGATGAAAAAGAAAGAATAATAAAACTTTGTAACTGTGTGCAGGTGCGTATCCTCAGTCTGAATATATCGGTTCTCAATTTGTCTTTGCTTTGTTTGGATTTTTAGTCTTTTCATGTATCATATATCAAATTATTGTTTCCTATATATATAACACTTTATTTTACTAGATGGCATACAAATTTTGTAAAGAGAAAAGCGCAAAACAGCTTGAAGAATTACAAACCTGGACTATAAAGATTATGTCATATTGCCAAAACCAGAAAGAAGTGCGTCTAAGAATAACATCGATTTCAAGAATTACTACATACGTGGGTTTATCCAAAAGTAATGTAACAACTGTGTATAAAATCTTGATTAATCGAAAGATTTCATCAAAACTATATATACTACTACCTCAATCTATTTTGACGTTTGCCTTAAAATTTCATTCAAATATAAGCAATGCTTTTTAAAATATCAAAACAAACACAACGTTGGATCTCGTCTATCGCCGCACAGCAAGAATGCAGCGATTTCGTTATGACGTTTCTCTTCGACACTTATTTTGAATCTAATAGTAAACTTAAAACAAAAGACTTATGGCAAAAGAAGCACGGGTTAGGTTTAAAAGAGATGTAAATGAATTAAAAATGAATGCCGAAAAGTGCCGTTCGGCGAAAGACAAAACTTAACGTTGTGTTTTTCTGAATATTTTTAACAGTATTTTATATAATCGAATGATATTTTCAGGCTAAAATCAAAATTGATAGGTTTATTAGTTTGTCTTCTTTGATAATATCTGATCATTAAAGATTTTATAGCGTTTGCGACCTTACTTTTGGAACAACCCTTGTACTAGCTTCATAACCAGTCTCTATTTTGTCAAGTTACAATAATTTTATTTTGTGATTAATAAAGAACAAGGTATGGTTTTAATACAAATCTTGCCCTGTGTTTTTCTTAAAACTGAAAGTGATGTAAAAAATTAAAACTCAAGCTTTTTGAATCATTGAAATTCCATGCAGAAAGATCAAAAAATCATTTTTCTCGCATGACCTTCTAAATGCTAATTATGACGTCCTAAACTTGTGCATTTTCCCGTATTTTCTTAAAATGTTGCAGAAGACACCAATTTTCAATGAAATTTTCTCTCAGAGAATATTGTCCACAGGCATCGCCCACAAAGATTTTGAGATATGTTCTTTTTCAAAGTATTTTACACAACATATCCGAAAACTAAAGTGGGCGACGGCTGTGGACACTATTTTCTTAAGGAAAATAACCCTTGATATGGGTCATTTTGAGGCTTTTTCTGTTTAAAATAGAGAAATGCATCAAATTAATGACGTCATATTTCCAGAATGGTACTCCTTCATGCCATATTCTTTCCTCATTTATCACAGTCATATACTCAACTAATATTTAAGCCAGTTTCAAAACTTTTTGAAAACATTAAATTTTTAAGGCACAATAAAGCTTAAACCGTACCTTCTTCTTTGTTAAAATATATTTCATGTATTAAAAATTGATATAATCTTCTTCAAGTAGACCAGCGAAAGCAAAGATATCGTTGAGATGAAAAAAGATACTCTTTGTCACTTGTTAGAACTAAGGAAACAGTGTTGTTCAATGTCCCTTCCTAATATCCACCAGGTAAAAGATTTGATTTCGTAATGATGACAGTAATGATGATTTTGATGAGAACTGATGTTATTAGACTGTTACATCTTCATTTCCTGTTTTGCAGATGTTCAAGGAATCGTTTAAGTTTTTAGAAACAAACGACGAAGCCATTTTAAAAGACATTGAAGCATATCTGAAAGCTTGTGTAGAAATCTGTTGGTTTTTGTGTATTCAGGACCCGCCGATGGTTCTTATTATTCCGGAAAAAGGAGAAACCATAGATAAAAAACTGTTTAAGATGTACAAGACTTCCGGAGACACAGTTGACATATGTGTGTGGCCTGCACTCCTTTTAAGTGAAGATGGTAGCGTTGTATGTAAAGGTCATGTTTTACCCCAGAAGTAAACATAACTGGGAACTCTTATCTAACTATAAAAGTTATATAAAATTATAACAAAAATTATATACACTAAAATTATTTGTCTTACCAAAACTTTCTTTTAACACTGTGAATTTTGTTTACTGACAGAATGACGTTAAATGAAAATAAATGATAATTTTTACAGTTTTGAACAATATCCTTTACATAATCTTTGATTTTCTAATGGTGCTTTAAGACACTGTAATTTTATAAACGCATGTCTCATATAGAATAAAATGTTTTGAACATCAAGTGTAGAAAGTATTCTTACAATCAATTTAAAGGCTGTGGTTTACCTTCCTCTCGAAGAAAATGTCGGGATAAAATAAGACTTAGTTTTAAAATAAATCAAGCTTGTAAAAAAAAAAGATGTAAATTACTACATAATGTCCAATGAGGAATGATATGAATGAGGGGAGAAGGACTCCAATTAGAAGCGTGATTCAGAATGATTGGATTTATGATCTTTGTTCCACTAAAAATTTATGGATACCTTCCGTTATATTGCAGAATTTGCATTTTTTAAAAGAGAGGGAAATAAACTTATGCCAATATTTTATGTGAATCTCAACTTTGTGAATTGTTATAATTGGGTATGTAAATGTAAATATGAATTAACATTTGATATATTAATTTGTATTCGTATACCCAGATGGGACATTAAAAAAATGAAAGTGTTTAAAATTTTAATGTCTAAGAAATGTACGAGAGGTATAACGGCCTCCTCAAACCCTCATCTTTTTTTCTCCCCATCATTTATCCCCTTTTTCCCTTACTATTTTCGCTATCAAAGTTAATCTAATTTCCTTCCTTGGTTTTACTTTTCTAAGCGCTTTCATTTTATTTTCTGGATATTCAATCAACTGTTTTTAATATACTAAACCTGAATTAACTCACCCTTGAAATATTTTATTTGATACTAAAATACTGAACAAAATCGATCTTTTTGTATATATACATGTGGTTAATTGCAATTTTTTTTTATCAACATGCAAATTCCAAAAAAAAACAAAACTTTATATTTAGTGTATCCTTTTTTTTCTTAAAAGTTCTTTTCTTAAGGTTACATAACGTAAAGCGGCCGCCCATCCAAGGGTCATTCAGGCTCGCCATTGTTTAACTTGCCTGAAATAGAAGGGAGACTCATCACTAGAAAAGCTAGCTCACTAGCGAGTTTCAAGTTTCAAGTTTTTATTTAAGACAAAAACTCCAACTGGGGTATATGAATACAACTTGAATGATACAACAAAATAACATACAAGCATGAATGAGTGGCACTAATGTTAATTACTATATACATGATTGTATAGTTCAAAACATCAAAGTATAGAAGGCCTCTGCTAGTATTAAATAAATCTATATGATTACACAGTAGTTTTGTTACTATTAATTTATTACTGATAATAAAATTTTGCAAAATTTGGCAAGTCCAAAAATGACTTTAGCGCCCTTACAATTTAACAGGTCATGAAATTTGATAACATTAGGATTAGCATAAAAATATTTGGAACAAGTTTTTTTTTGTTCTCTTTTGAAAAAAGCACATTCTAAAATATAGTGGAATTCCTCCTTTCAGTAAATTGTTACAGGAATAAAGATCACAAATTCGATCATCTCTGTCAACACCCCAAAAGCGACCTTTCTCAGTCTACTGGAAAGCTGTGATTCATAAATCTAAATTTACATAAGGCTTTTCTCAAATCCTTTGGAAGATAAAAAAAATATTTTGCAATACAATTAATGTTCTAATTTAAATAACCTATAATAAAGGGTATTTGACATATCAAAAATACTGGCATACAAATTCTGCTTAAATTGATCGATTAATCTAGTTTTTACCAATTTTGACACCAACATTTTCTTTGGAGAATACTGTTGTAACCATAACTCGGACGAGGCAGTGTACTGTTCGCTGCAGTTACAAGAGTTGTCGTTATTTAAATTCAGGAACGACAAATATTTTGTAAACTGGTTGTTTTAGATGCAGTATTGTGTAAAAAGATTTTAAGTTCGTTTTAACACAAGGAAAAGTAAGTATTGCAATTCAAACTATTGGCGATGTTATTCTAATTTTAGTGCATAAAAAATTACGTGAATGAAACACTGATATCTACCTTTCTACTTTCGGTTTTAAACAAACAGTACTGAATTATTTTTAAAAAAGATGGTCAAATTGGAAAACTTATGCTTAGCATAGGAGGTGTTATATAATTAATTAAGCATTGCAAACATGTAGATACAGGTATACCTGCATGTTTATCCCTCGGCCTCTTCCGTATACATGTGTGTATCGTGTGTATACATAGGTGAGTGTGTTTGTGTATTTATGTGTTTGCTATGTATAAAAAAAAATCTACAGTTAAAAAAAATACATATATGGCGATTCGTCCTAATTAAACTGAATAAAGAAACGGCAATTTTTTTTTTACTAAACAGAAGATATGTCAGATTATTTATAGATACATTTAAATGTAAGTAGGACATACGCCGTTTAAATTCCATTTATACCAGTAACTTTACATGGTCCTTGATTCTAAACAGCTTTTGCTCGTCCGATAAAATGGTTAACACGTTTTCTCTTTCTGAAATTGTGAATAAACTTGTCTAAATATGTCTGCAAGTGAAAGCAAAAGAACAAAAGCGAAGGTTAGTATAGTTTGCCTGAGTTTATAAAACTGATTGTTTACACGATATTTTAATGTTGTATTTGTCTAAAATATTTATCTAATATCTAAGATACAAGATGGAAGGAAGAACGTAGTATTATCACAGAGTTTTCGATGATGATATCAGAGTTTTTCCTGCATCTTTTTTCAGTATATATACTGCATGTACTACTGGGTAGTATATATTTACTACTTTCACTTTGAAACCCTTCAAATTTCACAAACTTGAAATATTAGAACTACAATTAAAAGCTCACGGTTGAATTCTATTATAAATAACATTTATGGTGTGATGCCTTTGAATTTTAGTCTTGGGAATATTGTTTCAATTTTAGGCAAAATCTATCAGTAGAGCACTGGAATTCTGTAGTGGATGTGTAAGTGCCACCACTCTGAAAGAAGCCAGGAATCACTATTCTTTCCTGTCTGACTTAGCCAAAAATTTGGGAATCACTGTCAAAGAACAAGTAAGTACAGATACTCGTGTGTTTATTTTGAATTGCACACGTTACAGTTCCAAGGATGCATTCAGGCAAAACGCATCGGGGGGGGGGGGGGGGGGGTGACCCCTGCTTTTTCCAAGTAACTTTTTACTATTGAAAATGTTCATTGAAAGGCCCGTTGGCCCTCATTTTTTGTTGCAGTATAGTCAAATAAGGGTAATGTAGTAGTGTACGAATAAAATTTAAAATTTGGTACCTGTACTTAAAGAAATTGGAACTCCCCCTTCTTGCTTGTCAATAAATTGAAATTTTGCCCCCCCCCCCCTTCAAAAACGATGCTTCGTTCCTGGCATTATCTTCATAATGCACTGTATTATGTACTCTATATAAGTGTATGCCTATGCGCTTGTTTATGAGTATTCTGACTTTTCAGTTGAAGACACAAACAAAGGACACTAGATTCCGTTACTTGACAGATGATGATAAGAAACTTGGTGGGGCATTATTTGACACTCTATATAAAGTAGGAGACAGGGTCAATCTCACAGATGTTTGGCCAAATTACTTGTTCCTTATCGAGGTCTATAAACGGCATCGAGGAATATCTAGCACTGTATGTGAATACTTATCTTTCTTTACAAAACAAGAACAGTACATGTACAACTATTATAAAGAAGTGAGTCTAGCTGGATGTAAATTTTTTTCAAACGAAATTTTTTAATAAAAATCTGATTTTGGATGAAAATGTCATTTTTAACTTCACAATAATGAAAAAATCTTAAAATATATTTTATAACACCATTCCTCTTTAGCGTTTAATTAATGTCTGAAACTTCAAACCAAATTAATATAAACATGCGAGTTAACGTACGAACTTTACTAACGTAAAATTTTATCTGAACAGAGATTTACAATAGAGGAGGTAATGAACGCAAAAGAAAGTAAAAGTGCCATTTCTGAAATCCTAGAGAAATATGAATCGATGGGACATGACAAGAAGCAGATCAAAGATGCTCGAAAACAATATGAGTCTATATTGAACAATCAGTTTAGCTCTTTTGCATCAGAGGTATGAAATATGGGCCATGAATGTTAATGGTATGTAACATTTAATAAATAAAAAAAATAAATATATCATATCGATTTCCTTCAATCTTCCTCCATATAGCTCAAGACAATTCAAGAGAAGAACAAGAAAACAATAATCGAACCTCACCAAATACCATCAACATACAGTAAAAAAGCACCAGATCTGTATCATATCATTGGCGATGCTTGGGGAAACAGACGTGATCGCGCGGAGGAGGCAATCAAAGAATTTTTCTACATAATGCAAACATATCATCGTTTAAAAGAGGTGAATATGTAGGAACATAACATCTAGATTATGTTAAATGATAATAACAATGGTCAATGTCAATATATTTATTATTGTTTATCATTTAAGCAGATATTTCACTGAGAAATTTTGTTTAACGTATATATATATATATATATATATATATATATATATATATATATATATATATATATATATATATATATATATATATATATATAGAACCAATGTACACCTACGACATATGATGAAATTAAGAGTTCACGTACATCAACGGCTAGTTCTTCAATGGTGACAACAAAGCGTGTCTCGACAAATGGTATAGACTCTATCCTCCGTCAGTGTTCTGGAAAATATCAAAAAGAACTCCTTAAAAAGGCCGAGGAAGAATTAAAACGGCTCAAAAAATACGACAAGGACTTAAAATACCGAAAGGATTTGGTAAAAATTGTTTTACAAAATATTTAATATCATAATTGAAAATTTAAACAATGATCGAAATATGGGTTACAGTTCTTGCAAATACCTTACACGTAAAATATTGTCAAAAAGCTTTCTAAATCAATAAAAAAAAGATTGTTAATCCATTTACGTAACATGTATTACATGTATCACCTTCAATAATAGTTATCAGTTGTCGGTAAGGATAATCTTTAATAATAAAACTTACAGGAAAAACGTAAGAATGAGTGGTATATGAAAGGGTCAGAGGGACCTGTTGAATTGCTGAGATCTATTCCACAACCGAAAAGGCCGCTTCATAAGGTTCTCCAATATGCTAAGGATGATAAGACAATGGAAAGCGAGTTAGCTCTGTTAGAATATGGCTCTCTTCTTCACTCTGAAAGTCTGTTTCAGGAAATGGAAAGTCCTACGGTAATCATATTATCTGTTCTAATTCATGAATACTCCTTTCTTAGTTTTTGAAAGATGATATCACATATTAGCAATACTAATGCCCTGTTCACACGGAGAGTTTAAATCAAATTAAACTCTCCGTGTGAACAGGGCATAAGTATCGCGATCACCTCACAGTTATCTAACTTAATGCAGCTCTTTTGCTGCGAAGTTGAGGACTCTAAATATCGCGAGATCATTGCTAACGGTAGTGACAATCGAATGATTCGAACAACTACAATGTATTGCAGAGGGTTGAACTTAAAATAGTAGGTTTTCTAATTTGGAATGTTTAGAATTTTTCTTTATCAGCTTTCAAAAGTTTTAGATTATCAGAAAGAAATGGTTGAATTTAATTAGAAGCGTACGCTTAGTGAAAAGTATCAATAAAAATGTAACACACGATGACCAGCTTCTCTGGAATATTAATAGTGTTGTTCAGCGGATGTCCGCAAGATATTTCACCAGACTTCTTTCTTGTCTGCCCTTTAAAAATTCACAATGCTCGATCTTGCGTTGTATGCAACAGCACATTGCCCCCAGCTAACAGACGTTTCCTATCTTCACCGCAAAAGAGTTCCATTAAAGGACATCGCATGTTTCTAAATTATTTGAAATTGAAAGCGTATTATGTTCCTTATAACCGCAATTTATAAATTTAGTGATTTTACAGCGGATATACCGCGGTAATTGAACAATTACTGAATCAAATGAAAAAACCTTAGGTTAAAAATTCAAGTTTTAAAATTAGATAGCGATCATGTGACCCTGTGACGTCAAAGGCGTCAATGACCGATCAGCTCTTCACGTTAATCTTACTAAAATGTACGCGATACAACCTGGATTTTCTGAGTTATGGACTACCAAATCACTGATTTTGTTTATATGAAATCAGATATCCAACCTTAGATGTTTGAACTGTCAGCAGAGAAAATCTGAAAAATCTGTAAACGATGTAAAAATTAAATAGCAGCGACGATAGGAGACGCGGCGAAGACGAAGAAACACATCACAATACAATTTGATTTGTAATCTTATCACATGCATTAACCGATTTTACTCACAAATTTACCATAATGTAACTTTGTTATTCTTCATTTTTAGCTCTACTGGTCAGAGACCAGCTCCCAGGATCATGAAACAGACTTAGACTTAAGTCAAATTTTCAATTGCCTGTAAAATGTTTATCAGTTATAGAATTAATATCTAAATTTACAGATAACAACACTTTTGTGAGGCAATATTTCAAAATATTTTAAATTTGGTCTGCTTGACTTTGACATTATCTTAGTAAAACATAAAGATTTTGACTTAAGTTTAAGATGTTTCATGATCCTGGGACCAGAAGAGCTTATGCGATAGTAAGGTGTCCGTCCGTCTGTCTAGTTGTCTGTCCGTCTGTAAACAATTTTTTCAAAATGCTACTCCTCCTACAGTTTTAGTCTGATTTCAATATAACTTGGCACACAAGTAGACTACACTAAGATACATAATTCTTTGTATCTTTTTTGATTTCGATGAATGGTGTTGCCATGGTTACTAAAAATAGAAATTTCTGGGAAGTACTTTCAAAACACTACTCCTCCTACAGTGTTGGTCTGATTTCAGTATAACTTGGCACACCAGTAGACAACACTAAAATACATAATTCTGTGTATCGGTTCTTGATTTCGATGAATGGTGTTGCCATGGTTACAAAAAAAAAAAAAAATAGAAATTACTTTGAAATACTTCCAAAATGTTACTCCTCCTACAGTTTTGGTCTGATTTGAGTATAACTTGGCACACAAGTAGACTACACTAATATACACGATTCTGTTTATCGGTTTTTGATTTCCATGAATGGTGTTGCCATGGTTCCAAAAAAAATTGAAATTTCTGTGAAATACTTCCAAAATGTTACTCTCCTCCTACAGTTTTGGTCTGATTTCAGTATACATTGTAACTTGGCGCACAAGTAGACTACACTGAGATACATGATAATATTATTGTCTTTTTTTTGTTGTTGATTTTGTTGAATGATGTTGCCATGGTTACTAAAATTGAAATTTCTGTAAAATTCTTTTAAAAGGCAACTCCTCCTCGGTTTTGATGATTGCAATAAATCTTGCCACAAAAGAGACTAAACCAAGGATCATTATTCTATTAATTGCTGTTGCAAAGTTTCAAGTCCAAGTGCTACTTTTATCTTCCTTTGTTATAAGTACAAACCAGTAGAGCTACAGACTCATCAGAGACTTCTGCCTTCATATAGGGCCTATTTTGTGAAGGGTAATAATTTCCCGATCACAAATCATTGCTGTAGAAAGAGCTTCAGATTCTAAATGTTTGGAATAAAAAAAAAATATCTCAAAAGCCTTATACCTTAGAACTAGTTAATATTTCTATAATAATTGAAAAGCATGTTAGGAATGGATTTTTTCAGCATTTTTAGTAATTAAGCTGTATTTGTCGCTGATAAGTCCATAAACAGTGTTTAAATTCTCATCTCTCTATCTCTGAATTGTCGCATATGACGTCAGAGCAGTATTTCGCCGAAATCCGATTGAAATATGCAAATTTCAACTCTCAATATCGCTTAAAATATGGTTATAAAACGTTTATTGTATTCAGTATTTTGTTAAACAAGGTTGTAGATAATATTTTTTTTTTATAAAATTACGATTTTTTAAAAAATCATGCGATAAGTCCATGAAGTTAAGTAATCGGAATATCAAGTATTGCTTCTATAATATTTCGATTTTAGATAAATAAACAGTCATTAAGTTATCCTTTTTATTCTCCGCTTTCACAAGGGGAGGGTTAATAATTAGGGTCTGTTCGTCCGTCTTTCTGACTGTCATTCTGTCTTTGTGTAACACTTTCGTTTCCGGACGATATCCTAAAAAGTCTTTCAGCTTTTGCGATGAAATTTTATATAACAACTCTTTATGGCCTAAAAAAGCCTCTATAGATATTTATGTCAAAAGTTCAAAATTCAAGGTCAGAAATTCCTAGTGTAATTATCCGGAAATTTATATTGTGACCATTAGGGTTTAGCCATAATGTTGCAGATGTAGACATCCGTGTATAAAGGCAGGTAACGTAATTGTTTATCTCCTCGCATTAAAGAGTTCCTATAGTCTGTTTTACTTGAATCTATCTATACAATAGCCACAGTAGACAGTGGTTCAGAATCACATAAAAGAAAACAGACCATATAGGAACTCTTTAATGCGAGGAGATAAACAATTACGTTTCGTGTTTTGGAGTGGCAAGCCACTCAGCGGCTAACCGGCAACGGAGGTTAGCCACCTGTAATTTGTCTTATTAACCTAACCTGTCTGGCGACCAGGCTGTTGTGCGCAGTGTATCTTCCTTAATAAGGCTAGGAGTGTGCATAGCAGTTGAAGGGCTGCATGTCACTTAAACTGACTGTGTCCTGAATAAGGCTGCAGTACAAGCATCAGTCCTAGGTTGGCCAGTGCAAGGCTGACAGTCTACCCACTGCAATTGACTCGATCATTTGTAACTATTTGATTATTTCCCTATTCCATATTGTCGTCGTGATTATTAACCTAGATAAGGGTAGGCCGTACTATTTGTATATATTTGCAGGCCTTTGTTTTCAATCAATTGCGAATCATTTATTAAGAAAATTGTTATATTGAAATCATGCATCCCCCAAAACCTTGAATCGACAAGGTGCGATCCCGATAGGAGTTAATATTCGGCTCGAGACACGTTACAATACATGTATATTGCCAAGAAATGGTTTCTAGCTGATACATGTAACTCTAGTCCTATTTGATGAGCTTTTTTCAGTGGAATTTTAGATCAGAAATTCATGCCTTGCATAAAATGGATTCCTGATGATTTTTTTTTTTAAATAATGTATTTATATTCAATAACATATAACAAAATATCGAGGCAAAACTTCCGCAGAAGCCCTCTGTATATACCTCACCTGGGGTGCCAGAAGCTCCCTGGATCGGTATTTTTTTAATATATAATTTACAAAATTGTATACATTACGTGAGGAAAAGTACACGGATATATATTGTTAACATTTCATTTCTATACATATGCATATATATCATTGTATAATATTTCTTTTGTAAATAAAATAAATATTATAGATGAAATATCTATACTTTATTTATATACTTTTCAAAATACATACAATCAAAACATAAAGAAAATCTTCTCTTTTTTTTTGCATCCTTTGCTATTAAATAATACTGATATAATGATGAATTTAAAAAAAGCTAACATTGCATGTGCATTTACGTTTTCATTTTGTAATATTCTAAAATTAAATGTTCAATATATTCTACTTGTCCACAACTTGTACAATTTTTCCCCACCTCTTTATTCCATTTACTTACATTATATTTACAGTTCAGCTGGTTATGTAAATTAAAGTTTAAAATTGAATTCTGCTATCTGTTTATCAAATGCATTTAATATCTTAGCTGTATAAATATTTTTCCATGGACCATTTGTTATATTGAATTCTTTTGACCACTTCGTTTTCATTATTGGCTTTTGCTTCTTTTTAGAAAGTAGAATTTTGTAATAAAATCCTGATTTTTCAAATTCTGGGTTTTTACTTTTTCCTTGAAAAAAATAGGGCTTTTGTATATTAGTGTTTTTACATTACAGTAATCTATATTTAGCTTTTTAATTGCTTTTTTAATTATTAGATATTCACATAAGTAATTACTCTTTGATTCAAGAATCTCTTTTACATCCGTAATATCTTTCATACCTTCTGTTGTAAACAGATCTTTTACGTATAGAACACCACTTCTTGCCCAGTTTTTTAAAAGATATAGTGGTTTATTGTCGTGTTTAATGAAAGTGTTTAACCATAAGTTTTCTGTAATTTTATTACGCGGTGATGATAACGATTTACATTCGTTAAAACTACAGAAAATATCCTTGTAAAATTTCGAGAATTTGTTTAAAACGTTGAAATTCCTGGTGATAATTTTATTTCATCTTGCGATTAGTTTTTTATACCTTTATTCAATATAAACCCCAATAGTTTTTGAGATCAAATGGCCAAAGACCATGGTAGGAAATTAATATATTGCATCCATAACTTTAGATGATAACTTTAGTTCCCGTGAGCGTTTGCAACTAATTTTTAAGGTCATTCATTTATTATACAGCGCACTTGAAAAGCGCGAGGTGTATAGTGATGGGGGAGTCCGTCCGTCCATTACGCTTTAGGGTACAGATCTCTCACCAGCTTCTTCCTCCTATACCACTGAAAAAATTTAATGAGACTTTCACGGAATCTTTATTTTATTTATTATTTATTATTTTTTTTAATCCATGGTAACCTCCTGTTTTACTCTTTCGACCGGACACATGATTTATTTTTCCCATGAAATATGGAGATATTCAAGCTCAAAGTCCATTTAAACAATATAAATCGGGAGCAGAGCAGACAGACATCGGAGGCGGGATCAGGTGCCATTGAGGAGTGAACATCTCCTGCCGACTGATCACACCCATAGACAAATCCGTAGACAATTCAGTGTGTAAATAATGGCCTGACAACGTCAGTCAGCATTTGATTTAATGATAGGTTGTATTTGCTGACAAGGTAATTGTATCGACCATAAAACTTACGAAATGATGACTTCAAATGAGAATGTTGATATTCTTGTTTCATCAACTTGATTGTCAATAGCTTGCCTCGTTTTAGAGATTGTTCATACGTGGAGCATGCTCTTGCGTATCGAATCAACTGGGAGACAAAACCCCAAATGCAGGTGATAAGCGTATATTGCTACATAAGTAAGGGAAGTTGACGATTAAAAAATGAATTCATCACGTTTATCTTAAAGCTTTGTTGTTAGGTTACCATTAAAGTCTTTTTCTTGTAAAATATCCAAGCATGAAACAGATTGTCAGACTCTGTGGAATCTTTTATTTCAAGCTCACTGTGATATATCGAGTAGACATATGAATGGAAGTAACTATTGTTAATTGATAATACCTCGTCGATATATCTAAATGTCGAGTTGATGGCCAAAGCAAGTGTTTTCCTCTTCTCATGTGGAAGTTTTTGAATAAATTCTGCTTCATATGATTACAAAAATTGGCTTGCTAATAAAGGGCGCATTTAGTACCCATGGGAATTCCTATAGATTGTTGGAAGACCTGATCTCCAAAAACTACATAGATATTGTCAATCAGAAACTAAAGCATCTTTTTAATATCACTTCAGAGTACTCGAGTGTACAAGCAGAATGTTTTATAACAAAATAATTTTGCAAATGACCAATGACAGGGTAAGTATATTTACGAGTTCCGTTTCTATTGGAAAAGTAGCTGTCTGTGATGTAAAAAAGCCTGGACTTTAATCCATCGTGGGAAATGATTGTATAAAGTGTAGAAAAGTCTCAAGTGTAGCAAACTATGGCTAAAAGATGGGTACCCCCCTATATTACAGAAAGATTATCTTTTCTATAATATCGGAGGTACCCATCTCTTATCAACAACTCCTCCTATATCACTGAATAAGATATAATGATACTTTCATAGAATCTTTATGAGATAGGCCATTGTGTACCTCCTAATATACTTGTTGATAGGATACATATTTCCGGTTTCCCACATCAAAAATAGACACTGTCATTTTTTTTTATATTATCGGAGGTACCCATTTCTTACGCAACTCCTCCTATACCACTGAATAAAATTTAATGATACCGTCGTAGAATCTTTATTATATAGTGTCATTGTGCACCTCCTACTTTATAATTTGATCCAACAGATATTTGGGTTTTCCCATAGCAAAAAATGGATTTTATCATAATACTCAATTGAGAGCGGCGGGGGGGGGGGGGGATAATTTTGTGAGCTCACTGCTTGCAGTGCCTAAAAAGACACCTATTGACTTTAAGGCCTAAAGTCGAAAGGTCAGAGTCGATTTTTTCTTTCTCCATCTGCATTTTTTCCGGTCTTCTGCCTTTTCTTTTTCCTTAAGGGGGGGGGGCATTCCTCACGATGGATGAAAGTCCAGGCTTTTTGACATCATAGACAGCTGCTTTTACAATAAAAACGGAACTCGTAAATATACCTACCCTGTCATTGGTCAAATCCCTGAATTAGCTTGTTATTGCTTATTGTCACTTTTATTTGAAAAGCGAAATCCAAGAAGATATCGATTTTAATAAAAGAAAGAGGTCTTGTTGCGAGTTTAAATGACAAAAGCAATAGTACATATGTTATTTTTTTCTCTTTAGGACGTTAGTGAGCAAGCAGCTGGAACAAGTGCATCTGTTTATAATGATCCCTCAGAAAGAAAGAGCATTGGTGATATATTGAACAAAATGAAAAATATCGTCAACCCTGAGGTGTATAAATATGCAAAAGAGGAATACCAGAAGCTACAGGATATAGAAAAGATGATAGCACGGGATGACAGTTTGGTGCGGTACTTGTTAACCTTTTCTTATAATTAAGACAATAAATGCATTCACACTGAAAAATATTTAGGAAAGACTTCAGTTGAAAAAGTAGCATAGTTATCTGTACATTACCCATTAGGATATGTGTTAACAGTAGAGCGATCTTAAAGGAGGCTTTATTCACTGCAAACTGAATAGTTCTAATTCCAGTGTAGCTTGGAGAAGTTAGAGTAATCGGCTCTTAAATTTAAAATTGAATCTTCATAGAATATTACCCAATTCGTTTTGATAGTAAAGTATAATTCTTAAAATTGCATTAGATCAAGATTAAGCAATTGATGCTTTATTTACTTGTATTTTCCCAACGTAAGTAAGCAACAGTATACAGTTGTTGACTGGGGTAGAGGGAAACAGTCGATCCGTTGGACCGGTGTGCAAGCTGTTGCCCAAGGCCGTAGGCCGCGGGCAACAGCTTGCACACCGGTCCAACAGATCGACTAGCTGTTTCCCGAGACTCCTGTCAACAACTGTTTTGTTATACTCCTACTAAATCAAATTCATAAATCTATTAGAAAATAAAAACAGAGTCATCAGATATTCGAGAATATTTTCAGCAGTTTTCACAACATTTTTCATATTTTTACTGTCCCTACTTTTAAGTATCGCCTGGATTTCATCCTCGTTCGCCGCAGGAAAACTAACATCGGATATTTCTTTTTATCTGTTTTCTGTTTAACGAAATGTTTAAATTACTCGGCACTCCTCGGCTGATTACATTTAACTCACGGTTACCCGAATCAGCCGAGGTTTGCCGAATGAGGAAAAGATAACTCAATTTAGCGCCATTTGACGTCAGCGGGCAACAGTCTTTTTTAACTGTCTATTTTAACAGTTCCTGGACTGATAGTCGGGGAAAACAGTCAAACTGTTGGACTTTTTAAAGTAAGAAATTGTATAGGGACTGTTTAGTAGGGGTATAACAATGAGCTCTGTTCACTAATACTTAATTTTCTTTGATTTTTATGCCCCCGTATCGAAGATTCGGGGGGTATATAGTTTTGCCCTGTCCGTCCGTCTGTCTCTCTGTCTGTTTGTCCGCAAAAACTTTAACATTGCCCGTAATTTTGATTGGTTGGAGCTATGGCTTTCATATTTCACATGTGTATTCCTTGTGACAAGACCTTTCTTTGTGTACCACCATATTTGACCTTTTGACCTTGGAGTTTGACCCAGTTTTGCAAACTTTTTCTCAACTTTAACCTTGGCCATAACTTTTGAACAATTGATGCTAGGGCTTTCATATTTCACATATGTAATCCTTGTGACAAGACCTTCCTTTGGATACCAACAACTTTGACGCTTTGACCTTGACCTTGGAGTTTGACCTACTTTTGGAAATCTTTAAACTTGGACACAACTTTTGAAAAGTTGTTACTAGCGCTTTCATATTTAATATGATTTTTCCTTGTGACAAGACCTTCCTTTGGATACCAACAATTGTAATCCATTGACCTTGACCTACTTTTGAAAAACTTTAATCTTGGTCTTAACTTTTGAACGATTGGTTCTTCAGCTTTCATATTTCACCTGTACATTTCTTGTGAGAAGGCCATTCCTTAGGCACCATTAATTTTGACCATTTGACCTTGATCTTGATGTTTGACTTACTTTTGAAAAACTTAAACCTTTTCCATATCTATTCAATGGTTGCTACTAGGACTTTCATATTTCACAGATATATTCGTCGAGACAAGACCTTACTTTGGGTACCAACATATTTGATTTGCATTTGAGAAAGTTTAACCTTTGCTTTAAGTTGCCATACGGGGGCATCAGTGTTTCACAAACACATCTTGTTTTTCCCTGGGAAAATATGACCCGTCAACGGTACCCAACTAGTATGTTGAAATTAATATGTATTCATATATATAATATCATTTTCTCAAAGTCAAAGAAAATTCATGGCATATTGAGCTTCCTTAGAGAATGTTTAAAATTGTGAAGTTTCTGTACTTTATTTCATAGAGAGTAAGAAAAGACAAATGGAAAATTCATAATCTTGATGGTCCTTTGGGGTATATTAATGTGGAAATTCCCAATAGACCTCTCCACGTTGTCTTAAATCGCGCACAAAAGGAAGGTGTTAAGGGAAGTGACTTTGCTCTAATGGATTATGGATCCATGCTTCACTCAGAAGTTCTCTATGACAGTAAGGACAATATGGCACAGGTATCATCACGACAAGGCATTATTTAATGTGACTTATCAATTTTATTGTTAGTGTGGATCTGTCACTGTTTTTGTTGATGATCGTTTGTAGATGGCTCCAATGCCACAGGAATTTGAGAAAACGGAAAATGTTCAGGCAAAACATGGTAATGTTGAAAATGTCAGAGAACTGCATCCGGTAAGAGTTGTCCCGGAAGTAGGTCGAGTACAGAGGGAACAGGAGAGATCACGATGCAATGACGATCACATGTTTATGTTACAGCAAGAAATCGACAAGCTGACAGAGCAACTTAATATAAAAAACACAGAAATTGAAGACCTGACAACCAGGTGGACTGAAATTTATTATACATGTACATTTACAAAGAACAGAATTCCTTGAAAGTAGTAAATGTAGTCTAGTTCTTTCATATGATACGATGTAAGTTTTATTTCAGATTGAGTCAAGCGGCGAGTAATAGTTTGATGTATAACAACCCAAGCATAGCTGATCTAAGTGATAAAAATCGTCCGACAAAATTAGGAGAACGGTTTGGGCAGCTTTACGATAATGAGTGGTCTGAAGCCTACGAAACTCTAAAAATTTCAATACCTTCAGAAAAGATTGTATATTCTATTCTTGCGGATGTTGTCAAGGTGAGTTAAATAACCTAAGTTTATAATGTCTTAAATGCTCACTCCTCAGCCAGGAACATGATCCTCTAATTTATTAATAAATTGAATACTTCTCAAAATGAATATTGAAATCAATTTTTAGTGCAGTAATTTTAATTTCATGCATCTAAAAAAGATTCAAGGTTCTTTGAAGTTTCAAAAAGGTCTTGCAAAAAGTAAACAGATGCATCCCATGAAAGTACAAAATAGTTAAATTTATATAAATACTTAAATGTAGTACATATGTAGTATGTAAATTACATTTCTAGAGAAATTGAATTTCATTTAATTTTGCATTATATATCAATGTTTATTAGCATGAAATGAATTGGAAGGGATTTGTGAATTTCACGTTTTACACTATTATTATATAACAATTGAAGTTAAATAAAATAAATAAAATACCGCGTAAGTACAGGTATAAATAACATGCAATTTTTTCCAATGCCTAGATACGTATAGTCCTTTTTTGTCCTAAAAATACTCGTTGGTCAATTTTCAATTAAAAAAAAAATGCATAATTAGTTCTTTTATTATCGTTTCTTAAAAATCTATATTTGAGAATTGATAATCTTCCCTGTATAATATGATTAACTAAATTGATGAACTTTCAAGAAATAACATGGATATATACACAATATATGTACTTTGTGAATTCAGTGACATGTTTATGAGCATTTTCAATTATTACTGCAGGACCCGAGGAACGGACTACCATAAGCTGAATGGAATACATAAATTAAATGAATTACGATGTATAGATGTATAATAATCAGGGCACACATTACATAAATTATATATATATATATATATATATATATATATATATATATATATATATATATATATATATATATATATATATATATATATATATATATATATATATATATTAATGAAACTAATTTTCACAATATTCATATTAGGATATATTCCAATATTGTGAAAAGGCCTTACAACAGCAAATTGCAGACATCAAACATGATTTGGAAAAAAGAACAAGGGAGCCTCGGTTTTTTTACGATAAAAAGGTGAAATCGAAAGAGGATTTCATTTTTTTAATGAAGATTTTCAATAAAAATTTAAAATTTTTGACAAGTTATTTGAAAAAGCATAAGAAAAGAGAAAAGAAAATTCTAGCAGTATAACATTATACTACTTCAAAATTGTATTAATTCATTTCTTATGCCGTATACTTTTAGTCATTTTCTGGGATTGGTAAAACAGATGAAATGTTGAGTTGGATGTGTGAAAAATATGCTACGGAGTTTCAGAAAGGAAACGCTGTGTATTCAGTGCAAGGTTTGACCAAGGTAAGGACTAGCGGTCACATGCATGTAATACTGTAATAGATGATATCGATACATGTATTAATGGGTCTTGCCTACATAGGCAAACATTTGAGCAATTAAAATGTAGAGACATTAAATTTCTATAATGAAACTGCATGGGCTGTAGATTAATTAATTCCAAATCAGGGATAAGTAAAGAATTAAAAAAAAACCAATATTCCTTCTTTTTAACACATTTTACACAGAAGAAACACAAAAAATGTACATAGATTTTTAAGTTGAAAGCCTTATGAACAAATCTAAAATTTAAATTCACAGACGCGCCTCGGATAGTCCCAGTCCATCACAACAGTTGCTCTCAACAATATTTATGATTATGATTCACATAAAAAAATCTCTTATTGTTTGAATAATGATATTTTCTTCCTTTTCAGATTTATAAAGATTATTGTAAACATAGGCAATTTTTAAACAGTTATCCTGGAATTATGGAGAAGATAGAATCATATGTGAACCTTGCAGTTGAGTTGTGTTGGTTGATGTGTGCACAGACCCCTCCCATGCAGCTACTCTTTGCAAGAAGGAACGATAAAGTTGATAAAACTTACTTCCGGTGCATGGGACACTCTGGAGATAAAGTTGATATTTGTATTTGGCCTGCGGTGTTACTCCATGATGGAGGCCCGGTTGTAATGAAAGGACAAATCTTACCTTTGTAAATTTAGATATAATTGGTCTCAAATATTTTGATAATTTTGCATGATCATCTTTAAGAATTTATTAAATTATGAGTGACTAATAGCATGTTGAGTCATTTGCATTTTTATTTTAAATAAATTGAGTGTCGTCCTGTTAATGCTAGTATTTTTGTACAGTACTGTCGAGTTATAGTACACGGATTTATCACTTTTTCTTGTTAAAAATGAATGAAAGAAACTGGATATCTGATTGGTAAATGACTCAATGTAGATATAAATATACAGATATTAAAACTGCACATCTTTGTATTTTGTTTTAATAGTTTTGAAATTGTTCATCTCAAGCAAATAATTTACATAGATTCACATTATTCCATTTATTCTGTCAAATGTTAATAAAAAAAATTAACAGAATATATTATATTCTTACAGTATACATGTGTAATTTACGGAAGCTCATATAGGACCTATCAAAAATCATTTTGAATTCGATGTATGGAATTGTTGAATTTGTTAAAACGAATTTCATGCGTTATATCAGTTTTTCCTTTGGTTATAATGAATTAAATTTGATAGTATAACAGTATTTGTTATTTGTTGAATTCGTTAATGCACATAGTTCCTACTGTATATTCTACCGCGCAATGATAAGGCTTCAGTGAGTGTAAATACAGTGAGTGTAAATACTGGTATGACAAATTTAAAAACAAGAGGCCCATGGGCCATATCGCTCACCTGAGTAACTTTGGCCATGCTGTTCTTTACCAGATTCCCCCCCCCCCCCCCCTTGTAATACCTATTGTGGCCCCGCCCTATCCCGGGGGGTCCTGTTTGAACAATTTAGAATCCCAGTGGTTCTTGAGAAGAAGATTTTTTAAGATTTTTCCTATATATTTCAATGTAAAACTTGGATTCCCTATTGTGGCCCCGCCCTACCCCCGGGGGTCATGATTTTAACAATTTAGAATCTACACTACCCAAGGATGCTTCCAAATAAGTTTCAGCTTTTCTGGCCCAGTGGTTCTTGAGAAGAAGATTTTTAAAGATTTTTCTTATATATTGCAGTGTGAAACTTGGATTCCCTATTGTGGCTCCGCCCTACCCTCAGGGGTCATGATTTTAACAATTTAGAATCTACATTATCCCAGGATGCTTCCATGTAAGTTTCAGCTTTTCTGGCCCAGTGGTTCTTGAGAAGAAGATTTTTAAAGATTTATTCCTCTATATGTCAATGTAAAACTTGGATTCCCTATTGTGGCCCCGCCCTACCCCCGGGGGTCATGATTTTAACAATTTAGAATCTACACTACCCAAGGATGCTTCCACATAAGTTTCAGCTTTTCTGGCCTAGTGGTTCTATTTTTGTCTTTTCTTGATTATCTCCCCTTGTAAGGGGACTTGGCCCTTTATTTTTACAATTTAAACTCCCCTTCACCCAGGAATACTTTGTACCAAGTTTGGTTAAAATTGGCCCAGTGGTTCTTGAGAAGAAGTTGAAAATGTGAAAAGTTTACAGACGGACGGACGGACGACGGACAACGGGTGATCAGAAAAGCTCACTTGAGCTTTCAGCTCAGGTGAGCTAAAAAAAACTGTTACAACAGATTGAATTCCTTCAAACGACTTCCAGAATTTATTAAACCGAATTAAATTCGTTTTATTGAATCCGACATTTAAGACCTGTAGAAAAATATTCAAAAAAGCGAATTGTCAGATTTCGTTTTAACGAATTTAATAAGCTATTGCAAAATTAAGAGTTTGTTTAAAAAATTTAATTCATTATAACAAAAATTTGATTTTGTCATAATGAATTCAAGAAATTTGTTGTAACACATTAAATTTGTTACAACGAATTTAAAAAAATTGATAGAACGAATTAAATGCGTTTTACAAAGTTAACAATCCATTACAAACCGTTCACGTAGTTCAGTCGGTAGAGCGCTCGCTCCGTGATCGGGAGGTTGTGAGTTCGAATCTCGGCCGCGACTGACCTAAGTCAATAAAAAATGGGTAGCAACTGTTCCTCCGCCATGCGCTCGGCACTTTGAAGTGAAAGTTGCGGGTCCCTCGGATGAGACCTTAAAAACCGAGGCCCCGTGTCACGGCAGGCGTTGGCACGATAAAGATCCCTCGCTGCTCAATGGCCCTGAGTGCCGAGTAAAGGTCAAAATTTGAAGCCCTTCACCGGTATATGGTGACGTCTCTATATGAGTCAAAAATCCTCGAATGGGACGTAAAACAACATACAATCAATCAATCAATCAATCAATCCATTACAATGTACATCGGATTAAAACATATTTTTTATGAGTCCTAAATGGGCTTCCGTAGCAGTTAACTGGATAATCACACATACACACACTTGAACATTTCAGGGTTTTATTACAGTTCAGAAGATAGCAATATCGAAACTATTCATCTATCTATCTACGGTTTAAAGTATACAGAATACTGGACATCTCTAACGTCGCGCAACAGAGATTTGTAAATTTACTTGTAACTACATGTAGTGCGACAATTATAATTCATTAAACATACTGCCTGCGAAAGCCAACTTTGAATGCTATGAGTATGATACAATGTATATTTTATTTTTTTTAAATCAAAGTACAGATTTAGAATCCAGATCATAGATTTTTTATTGGAAAAACCAAACACTAGATTTGGCGCATTCCCAATAATATGACACGTATAATTATATATGCTTTAAATGGACAAAACGGGAACAAAAAATCATTATCAAATCTGCATGTTAACAACATTGCTGTTAGTTATGCTTCAGTGGACAGAGACCCCCATAACCAGGAAGATTGTTCTGAAGGACTGCTAGAATGGCGTCCCTCTCTATTTTCAGTTTTTTCCTTTTGATGTATTTTTTGGACAAAGCTGGTAAGTTGATACATTTATTTGGGTCTAATGGCAGTAGTTTACTTCCCATTTTGTGAATAAATGTATACATCATGAATTTTCGTGAGGTAAACTATGAAAAAAAAAAATTTTAATTAATGAATGTTCTTTTCGATTCTCATGTTTCCCTATTTGGAGACATGATCAATATCTCTTTTCTCTCTGGTATATGATCAGTTGATTTTTTGCTTTAGATTTCAATCCATTATTAAAGTCTGTTAAACTATAATTATTTTTAAACAAATCTTCCTATTAGAATAACGACATTGATATTAAACAAATGTCTATTTCAGTCTGAAGGTATTAAAACTGTGACTAAAATAAAACGAAAGGAGGACAGTGATACTAAAATACAGCAATTTATTTAAAAATAGAGTCGTTATTTTAAACTTATAAGATCTTTAGTTTGGACATGGTGATTTATTTTATAAACAAGATTGACCAACAAAACGCACTCATGAAGAACTAAGCAAAACGTTGATAAATCACCAGGAACCACCAGAACTTATATGTACTTTTGACAATTATCAATTTGAAATAAAAAAGTGTAAATGTAGCTTGCATTGGGGGACCAGTACAGAATATATTTAACAAACGAGACAGAACATGACATATGGAATGACATTATTAAATAGACAAACCTGTACAGTGAGGCAGAACATACGTGGAATGACATTATTAGATAGAAAGAAACTGGGGGGATAAGCCGAGCCATATGCCTACATAACGATCGATAAAAAATCAATAAATTCATTTTACAAAAATTTCACTTTTTGTTGAATTAATGTAATGCTTATTACCATTTGCATATAAATTTGACAAAACCTGAATACTGTAACAGCGAAAATGATTCTGATTAACACAACAAAATGGCATCACGCTCAATTTTCACAGAAACTGACATAAATTGGATGATATAATTACATTTTTTAAATAGAGTGGGTCATCGTACCATTTTTTTGAGAACGATTAATGAAAGGCAATGGAAAGATGTTGCTTTTTACACTTGCAAAAATTTGGTATGAAGACCCACTCTACATAAAAAATTAAGTTAACTTACTTAAATTTTCACCGTGGTCTTAAAAAAATCTAAGTCCAAAAACGCTTGCTAAATATAGAGAACTGTATGCTATTTAAATGGAAATGTAAGTGTGACTCCGTGGTCTAGTAGTTAGCGATGAGCTCTTTAAAGGGACGTTTATTGAGGAAAGTGTTCGAGTCATGCTCCGATTTTTTTTTTTTTTTTTTTGTTGTTGTTGTTGTTGATTTTTTTGGTTTTAATTTTGTTTTACTTTATAAAAAATGTCTATAGGAATAACATATTTTTCACTGGAAATAAAATATATACATGTAGTAATGAACTTATTTACAGTAAATTATTTAAAATGCCGGATAAAAATTATAATAGATATTTGACTACTTTTATTCCCGTTTTATTTATTTTAAATAAAAGCGCTTCTAGATCACCATTATCATTATATACGATGTTAACATTTTTATAATATCCCCACAATAAGTGTAAACACTCAATATGCAGATTAATTAATAGAAGTCCTTACCCATGTTAGACATTTGTGACATTAAATGAAAGTCAACTGTTTAGCTTGTTTAGAATATAAATATCATTTTGAAAACTACGGTAAACATTAAAATGCTTAAGTAAATTCGAACAATTGAGAGATTTTTTCCAATAAATGTTCTTGCATAGCCGAAAAATGGGCATGGGCACATGGCTCGTCTTATCCCCCCAGATTCTTTCCCTTTTAGAAGGAGATCCGTGTTCTACGTACAGTGTATTGTCGGGAGAGATTCGCCGATCTACAGCCTATACCTTGACGCCTTCCGACACTGCCATCTGTGACAACTTCCTGACAGAGCAATGGTATCGGATAGACAGTCCAGCCGGGAACGAGATTGTCCGCTCCTGCCCTTCTATGACGCAGTGTGGAACAATGTATCCGATGTGGATGAATGGTATGTAAATGTTGCTCTCTCCTCGATTTTAAAACGTTATATGTGTGCACTTTAACTTAAAAAAATGAAGAAAAAAAAGGCTTGTAAAAATGGAGAGAAGACCCGGAAATCTTAAAAAAAAAATGAACTTTTTACAAAAAAATAAATCCATTGTATTAATTCGCGACTATTTTTAAAACCTATAATGTGGCGACGAATTCCCAGGGGTATGCATATCCTGTCCATTGCAGTGATTATCAATGAATCGATGTTTTTGGTTCGAACCTCGCATGGAGCGTATTTTTTTTTTTAAACAAACAATTAAGTCGTTTATAGTTTAATTTTATTTACTAATTTAATAAAAAATTTCAATATAATTCAATTTTATTTTTTTTGCACCAAAAGCGAAAGAAATTCTTCCAACGTACTGAAACTATTATGCGTTTACATCTAACTATTCCCAATTATCTTATAGGTGTTTATTATATATGTGAAACGCTGGCGGTTGTAGAGGGGGCAGGGGGCCCGCCTCCTCCCTTTGTGTCCAAAAACATACATAAGAAAACTTATTAATAAATCAATTCTTTAGGGTTTGGGATATTGCATTTGCATTACTTATTCCTAAAATACAGCTAAAGTAAGTCAAAAGACCGTACAAAAAAAATTCTAAAACCCGAGAGCTTTCAGGGGCTTTGCCCTCTGTGCCCCCACCCTACCCCAGCTAGT